TTCACTTCCACAAGATTGTGAGTTCCAAATTTCCTCCCCATTTTGTCCCTCCCCCCCACTCCAAGAAAGTATGCATTCTGAATACCCCTTCCCCTAATCTGCTCTCCCTTTTATCTCCCCCCCTTCTCTTATCCCCTTCCCTTTCAATTTTCCTGTAGGGCAGGATAGATTTCTATACCCCATTGTCTGTATATCTTATCTCCCAGTTGCATGTGAAAACAATTTTTTTTAACATTTGTTTTTAAAACTTTGGGTTCCAAATTTTCTCCCTCCCCACACAGCCTCATTGAGAAGGCAAGCAACTTAATACAGGTTATGCATGTGTAGTCATGCAAAACACTTCCATTGTAGTCATGGTGTGAAAAACTAAGTATATTTCCCTTAATCCTATCCCACCCCCCATTTATTCTATTCTCTCTTTTGACCCTGTCCCTCATTAGAAGTGTTTGCTTCTGATTATCCTCTCCTCCATTATGCCCTCCCCTCTCTCATCCCCCTGCTCTCTTGTCCCCTTCCCCCCACCCCATTTTTCTGTAGGGTAAGATAGATTTCCATATCCAATTCAGTGTATATGTTATTCCCTCCTTGAGCCAAATCAATGAGAATAAGATTCACTCATTCCCTCTCACCTTCCCCCACTTCCCCTCCACTGTAACAGTTGTCTGTTTTATGTGAGATAATTTACCCCATTCCACCTCTCCCTTTCTCCTTCTCCCAGTATAATCCTCTCTCAACCCTTAATTTTATTCTCCAGATATCACCTCTTCATCTTCAACTCACCCTGTGCCCTTATTTATCTATCTATATATACATACATATAATTTTTTCCCTCCCACTACCCTAATACTGACAAAGGTCTCATGAGTCACAAATATCATCTTTCCATGCAGGAATGTAAACAGTTCAACCTTAATAAGTCCCTTATGATTTCTCTTTCCTGTTTACCTCTTCATGTTTCTCTTGAGTCTTATATTTGAGAGTCAAATTTTTTAATTCAGCTCTGGGCTTTTCATCCAGAATGCTGGAAAGTCTGCTACTTCCCCTAAAGGATTATACTCAGTTTTGCTGGGTAGGTGATTGTTGGTTGTAATCCTATCTCCTTTGACCTCCAGAATTTTATATTCCAAGCCCTCTGATCCCTTAATGTAGAAGCTGATAAATCTTGTGTTATCCTGATTCTGTTTCCACAATACTTGAATTGTTTCTTTCTAGCTGCTTGCAATATTTTCTCCTTGACCTGGGAACTCTGGAATTTGGCTACAATATTCCTAGGAGTTTTCCTTTGGGGATCTCTTTCAAGAGGTGATCAGTGGATTCTTTCCATTTCTATTTTACCCTCTGGCTCTAGAATATCAGGGCAGTTTTTCTTGATCATTTCTTGAAAGATGATGTCTAAGCTTTTTTTTTAAATTATGGCTTTCAGGTAGTCCAATAATTTTTAAATTATCTCTCCTGGATCTATTTTCCAGGTCAGCTGTTTTTCCAATGAGATATTTAACATTGTTTTCTATTTTTTCATTCTTTTGGTTTTGTTTTACAATGTCTCGATTTCTCATGAAGTCACCAGCTTCTATTTGTTCCATTCTAATTTTTAAGGAAGTATTTTCTTCAGTAGCTTTTGGACTTCCTTTTCCATTGGCCAATTTGCTTTTTAAGGCATTCTTCTCCTCATTGGGTTTTTGGACCTCTTTTGCCATTTGGGTTAGGCTATTTTTGAAGGTGTTATTTTCTTCAGTATATTTTGAGGTCTCCTTTAGCAAGCTGTTGGCTTGTTTTTTATGATTTTCTTGCATCACTCTCATTTCTCTTCCCAGTTTTTCCTTTACTTCTCTTACTTGCTTCTCAAGATCCTTTTTGAGCTCTTCCATGGCCTGGGACTGATTCATATTTTTCTTGGAGGCTTTGGATGTAGGAGTTTTGACTTTGTTGTCTTCTTCTGGTTGTATGTTTTGATTTTCTTTGTCACCAAAGAGAGATTCTATAGTCTGACTTTTTTGTGCAGTTTGTGCATATTTCTAGCCAATTACTTGAGTTTTAAACTCTTTCTTAAGGTGGGGGGTCTGCTTCCAGTGTAGAGAATGTACTGTCCCAAGCTTGGCCAGTTCTGTGTAGCTGTTTTCAGAGATACTTCTAGGGACCTGTAAATTTTCAGTTCTTCCAAGATGGTATGATCAGAGGCGAGGTGTTTACTCCTTTCCTGGCCTGTGCTCTGGTCTGTGAGTGACCACAAGCACTCTTTTCTGCCTTGGAACTGTGAGCAGCATTCTCTCTGTACTGCTACCTCAAGCTCCACCACACCAGCACTCCTCCTCACCCCAGGACCACCACTCAGAACTGTGACCCAGATCTAAGCAAGGGAAAAGTAAGAAAGTCCTTCCTCAGCACCAGGAAAGAGATCCCTGCAATCCCCCTCTGATCAGCCACTGGATTTCCCCCTCATTCTGTGGGCTGAGAGCCCTGGAAGCAGCTGCTGCCCTGGGGCTGTGCCAGGACTGGGGCTGGGACCTAGCTTCTCTCTCACCATCATCACAATCTTTTCCTACTGACCTTCTAAGTTGTCTTTGGTGTTTGTGGGTTGAGAAGTCCAGAAACTGCCACAGCTGCTTGTGATTCAGTCCTCTGAGGTCTGCTCCAGGTTCACTGAGGCCTGTTTTGCCTGACTGCCCAAGCTGTTCCTCTCCCAGCCTGGCACAATAGACCTTTCCAATCAACCATCCAGGTTGTCTTAGGCTGGAAATTTGTTTCCTTCTGTCTTTTTGTGGGTTCTGCTGCTTTAGAATTTGTTTAGAGCCATTTTTTACAGGTATTTAGAGTGGTTTGGGGGAGAGCTCAAGCAAGTCACTGCTTTTACTATGACTTCTTGGCTCTGCCCTGTATGTATGTATTTTTTAAAAAAGAAAGGCCACCAATACTTTCAGTATAATGATACTTCCTTTAATTAATGTCTTTCAACAATTTCTAAATTGATCAAGGAATTTTAACACCTAGACTAAAGGCTATGGTTGATTTGGAATTACAAAGAAAAGTCACTAAATTATTTATATCCCTTTGCACAGAGATTCAACTACTGGGACTACTTACCTCAAGAAGATACTGACAGAAAGAAAAGACCCACAGACACAAAAACATTCCAGAACAGCAATATTTGTAATAATAAAACACTGGAAACAAAACATGTGCTTAACAATGGCTAATGTTCTTATGAGATAATGAAGAGTAAAGAAAATGAAGTCAAAAGTTCAAGGCCTACAATGTTTAAAAAGGTTAACAGTGAGAGGTACCAAAACTCTAGTCAAATACAGTGCTCAATGTTAGAACCATAGTATGGTTCCAATTTGAAGAATCCATCCCTCCTATTTTCATCATTTTTGCTAGATGATACATGTAAAATGCTTTGAAAACATTAAAATGTTATTTAAATGTCATCATTAGGAGTGTTTGTGGGATATCATAAAAATTTATCAATAAATCTTCAAAAAAAAGAAAAAGTTTTGTCAACTGACAAAATAAATTTTTATAGCACTATAAAGTTTTATAAAGTGCTTTTTAATCATGGCAGCAGTCCTGTAATGTCCTATTTGCCCCATTTTATAGATAAATAAAAGCCTGACTCATGTAAGGTCACCTAGCTAATAAGCAGCAGGGCTAGGTCTCAAAACCAGGTCTTTTAATTCTTAATCCATTGCTCTTTCTACATTCCTGCAACTTCCATCTTATTCAGACCTCTGACCGGTTGCTTGTTCTCATCTGTCAAAAGTAACAGGTAGCATCCTGTCAAGTGAGACAAGGTAATTAAGAGACTCAATCAAGCCTCATCTTTGCCCTAAAAAGCCTTGTATTGCTGTGTTTTTCAAACACAATTTTAAAATATCTCTTTAAAAGATCAAATCTGAAAATGTTTTGGTCAATGGTGGAAGATTAATTTTTCTCTGTAGGACACTGATATCTAAAGTGTATTGCAGATTTTGAAGAAACAGAAATTTTGAGGGAAGGAAGTAAATTCTACTCTTTCCCCTTCCTAGCCAAATGACATTACAACTTTTTTAAATTATGAGAAAAAATTACCTAATTTTTCATTTACTAAGATTTCTTGATGCTCTCTGAAGATACCACTTTAAAATTTTTTATTTTTTTTAATGAACAAAAATCAATTATACCCCCCCTTCCCCAGGGCAAAAAACAAAAACAAAAAACGATCTCAATGGCCACATCCAAAAAATATACGTTTCATTCACTACTCTAAATCTATTACTTCTTTGTTAGGAGGTAGATAGCGTATATAGGCAATACTCTTAATTTACACAACCTAGTTTACCTGTAATTTCTGTAAAGATAACTGACATTCACATAGCACTTTAATGTTTATAAATAATGTTTATATACCTATTTCACACTAAGGAAAAAATTGGGACCCATGCAGGTTGTCACTTCCATAGCCACAAAGCTATGTCAGTGGTACACTGATGTCCCAAACCCTTTCTAACTACACCTTGTGGGATCCTTTCCAGGGGAATGTTTTATTTAAAGTTGTAATTATCCATTCAGAAAATCTGCAGGGCATTAGAACTTGACAACTTCCTCTTAAAAATACAAAATATTTATAGCAATAGCAATACAACACAAATATTTCTAAATTATATGCGTATATATCTTATATACAATAATAGGTAATTCATATTAAATAGATTAAAGAGCATTCCAAACTTTAAAGCTCTATATAAATGTAAGCTATTATAATAATAACAATACAACCCAAGAAGCAAATAATAGCAAATACTATCTCAAAAATACCACCCCCAACGGAGAAGCCGGAGCCCGACAACTGCCTCGGTGTGCCCTCTAGTGGCGCGAGGCGGTCGCTCAGTGGTCTATTTCTAACACTCCAAGTTCAAAGCGCCCGAGACTAAGCGGTCCAGAACGAGTCAGTCCCACAGCTAGGCTCAGCAGTCTCCAGGGCGCCTGCGCAGGGGCGGAAAGGGGACTGCGGGAGGTGGGGAAACGGGCCTGGGAAAGGAGGGGGGCGGGGATGTAGGCGGCCTAGGCCGAGTCAGTAGTAAATAAAGCCAAAGCCACTGGCCGGCTTTGGCTCTAGTTCTCGCGCTGAGATTCCAGTCACGCGCTCTCTGCTTTCGGTCTTCACCCCAGTCTCGAACAGCCTGGGGTGAGGGTTTTAGCCGTCCTTGGGGGTGAAGGGCTTGGAGAGGAGAAAGGCTACAAGAGGGGGCGGGGGTAATCGGGCGATGGCCGACGGGGAAACCCCGCCGGGTGGGTGACACCCGAGAGGAAGGCTCAGGTTTCGGGGAGCTGGCCGCGAAGCCGTGGGCCCTGGGTGAGGGAGAGGGGTCGAGCTCGGCCGTTGGAAGAGGGCCGGCCCGGCCGCGGGACGTCGGGGTGTCCGGGGGGCTGGATCGAGCCTCCCCTCCCCCCCTCCCTAGGACGCTTGTTGGGCTGACGTCACGAGCCTGGCCTGCCCGAGGGGCGGGGAAACGGAGCTCGGAGAACTTCGGAAGCTTCTCGCGGCAGGTGGACCTGGACGGTCAGTGCCCGTAGGCATCCAGGTGGCATCTACATCTCCCTGAGAGCTGGCGCTCACGAAGCAGAATTTTGACAGGTAAAAGCCGGGGGGGAGTTTCGAGTTCAGGCCAGGAATAGCCCGGTGAGTGTGAGCGTTCGCGGCGTAGAGCCCCTGGTGCAGGTAAGTGCCGAGTGAGCGGGAAACACGAGAGAGAGAGAGAGAGAGAGAGAGAGAGAGAGGAGAGAGGAGAGAGGAGAGAGGAGAGAGGAGAGAGGAGAGAGAGAGATGGAGAGAGAAGGAGCGAGAAGGAGCGAGAGGAGCAGAGGAAGGGGCGTGCCGAACTGCTGAGTCAGCGTATGCCGGCCCCCACCCCCAGCCCCCCTCGCCACCCCGCAGAGTCCTGGAAACCATGAATGTGCAGTTGAGCTAACTGTCCAAAGGCATCTCTTTAGGCGGAATACAGTGTGGGAATCGGATCCATTCTGGTGTAGTCAGCAAGTTGGGGGCCCGATTTCTGGTCTGTCTCACCAATGGAGATCTAGCTGATTTACTTCCCCGCCTCTCCGACCCCCCTCCTCCAACCCCCATTTAAAGAAAAACCCTGTTTTGGCCCAGTAGGATCCTTTGTTGTTGTTCAGTTGTCTCTGACTCTTCGTTAGCGTCCTGGAGTCCCACAAAAAAGAATTTGGCCTCCCACCCCCAACTTCACAAACCCCCTTCCACTTTGATCTTGGCGATTTAGTTAAATAACCTTTTGTTTTGGCTCTGGGTCATCTCCAGTCCTCCTGATCTTTATCTTGCAGCTGAACCCAGATGGCTGGGGAGGAGAAAGTGAGGCTGGTGACTTTGCACAGCCCTTCCTCACTTAAATCCAATTCATTTGCAAGTCATACCATCATCTTCCTGATGTTGTGGTCCTCTTGGAAAAGGAAGGACAAACAACAACAACAACAAATAAACTTTTATTAAGCACCTAATTCGTGCCAGGCATCTTGCTAAGATCTAGGGATACAAAAAGAAGCCTAAGATAGGCCCTGTCTTCAGGGAGTTTACAATCTAATGGATTCAATCTGGTGATTTAACTGGTAAAGAAAAATTGCAGGACAAGGCACCAGCAAAATAAAAGGCATGATTACCATCAGGAAAACTAGTGGAAATGTCAGGAATTAATACTTTCCTCATATTTATGTTAACACATTTGTGATATTTGCTAGGTCTTTCTGGATCATAATTAGTGAGGATGGTGCTATTTATCTTGCAACTTATCTGTATCTATAGTCAGTGCATGGCTAATAGCCCCTCTTTGATTTTGAATGTTTAAATAAGGTACCTGAGGCTTTTTATGCCCTTCCATTCCTTTTCTTATGACTCCATTTCTTCACTGTGTTTGAGGTTTCGTTGTGTCTGAAGTAGAAACCTCAAAAATATAAGTAGATATGTATTCATATTATATATGCTTTTAAGAAATAATTTGAATTTCAGTGGAAAAAATTATTATAAGCAGTGTTATGAATCTCCAAGGTATCATTCTCACCTTTTAATCATTAAAATGAAACAGATTATTGATTTTATGAAAAACTTGATTGAAAGTGGGAGCAAGTGGAGAAACTTGCTGCTTTTAATAATAAAATTAGTATTTAAACAAAATCTGTTTGAAGCTGCAGGGATGTGGAAAGAGTACTGGGTTTAGAATTAAACGACCTGGTTTTGAGACCTAGCCCTGCCACTTATTAACTGATTGATATTGAGCAAATCAGCTTCCCTAAAGCCTAAATTTAACTATCTAAAATGGGGCTGATAGGGCTAATAGTACATTACAGGGTTGCTGCCTTGATGGAAAAGCACTTTGTAAAACTTAAAGTGCTATATAAGTTTTATTTTTTATTTTTACATTTTGTTTCCACTTATCACATCCCAGCAAACACTCAGTAATGGCATTTAAATAGTATGTTAACATTTTCAAAGCTTTTTCCATATTTTACCCTGCAAATTTGCTGAGAACAGGAGTTTAAAAAAAAACAAACAGGAGGGATGGATCCTTCAAACTGAACCAAACTATGGATCTAACATTGAGCATTATTAGTGCCTCTCACTGTCACCTTTTAGGTAGTCATTATTCTTTTGACTTTGCTTTCTTTACTCTACATTATCTCATAAAAGCCATTAGTCATTGTTGGGCACATCTTTTATTTCCAGCATTTTGCTATTACAAACATTTCTGGAATATTTTTGTGCCTATGGGTCTTTCTGTCAAAAATCTCCTTGAAGTAAACAGTCCCAGTAGTAGAATCCCTGAATCGAAGGATGTAAATAATTTAGTGACTTTTCTTGTGTAATTCCAAATTGAAATTGAACCCCTTAACAGGCAATGTATAGGTTGAGGTTTGTTTTTTGTGTTTTTTTAAATAACTCTTCAATTTTTTCAAGCTTATCTTTAGTTTTCCCTAATACAGAATATTTGGCAAAGTTGTAGAAAAAAATTAAGCAAATGTCATTCAACATTGCAGTGCATTAAAAATTATTAAGTGTTAGGGGCAGCTAGGTAGCACCAACCCTGAAGTCAGGAGAACCTGAGTTCAAATCCGGCCTCAGATGAAACACTTGACACTAGCTGTGTGACCTTGGGCAAGTCACTTAACTCCAACTGCCTAAAAAGAAAAAAAATTATTAAGTGTTCCAATGGATGACATACACATTTTAACCAAAATCATTAAGGAGCAGCCTGGGTTAGTTCCAAGTATCTTAATCTGGGAACATGGACCCCCACAGAGTCTAAGTGATAGGTTTCAGGGGTTCTCTGTACTTGGATGGAAAAATTACATCATTTTCATTAACATCTCACTAAAATTAAACATTTCCTTCAATTGTGAATGTAGCCAATAAAACATTGTGAAAAAGATTTCCCCAAACTGCCAAAGAGGTTTATGACACACAAACAAGTTTAAGACCCCCTAGTTTAATGGAAACTCGCAGCTAGGTGGTCAAGTAGATGGAGTGCTAGAATTAGAATCAGGAAGATCTGAGTCCAAATGCAGCCTTAGACACTTAATGGCTGTGGTTCATAGGATTTTCTGAAGGAAACAATGACAGTTATAATTCATTCTCAAAACACAGGAAACAGCTGAATGACAGGCTTTCTCTTACTATCTTCCCTCCCCCCCCAACTCTCCTTCGGTAGTATCACCAGGTAGGGGAAATGATGTGGACTTTGAGTTCAAAGGTGATTGACTTTTGAGCTGAAAGTCAGAAGAATAAAGGAGATTCAAAGCTAGAGGCCAGGGGCAGTAGGGTCTTCCCTACTGCAAGAATTTATAAACCAGGGTCCCAAATGGGCTGGTAGGATTCCTGGAGAATAATAATAGCTGACTTTATAGCACTCAGTAGCACTTTAAAATTAAGGTTTACAAAACATTCTTTTCACATATATTAACTCATTAGATCCCCACAGCCCTATGAGATAGGTACTATAAAAATACTATAGGTACTATAGTAAATAGGTACTATATAGGTGGGGAAATTGAGGTACAGACATTAATTGGCCTGCCCATTGTTACAAGGCTTAGAATTGTCAGAGGTGGATCGTCACCAGGTCTGTCCTTACTCCAAGACTCTTGAGCATAGGGCATGATCATTCCTTTCCATATCCTCATATGCATGTGGTCTTTGGAATATATAGATGATTAGAAAAAATTTCACATGCATATAGAGAATTTTATAGATTGACTTAAAAAAATCTTCCTATAGTACTCATTGTGTACTTAATTCTCTAATAAATAATTAGTCCTATTTTCAAGGAAGAAGGAGAGGAAAAGACAGAGAAAAAGTATGTAAGAAGAGAACGCACTATGTGCTAAGTCATACTGTTGCTAAAATCATTAGATTTTGAGTTTGAAGTGTGTTCTGCTTGAGAATTCTGGGGAGCAGTGTAATTTGGGGACTACTTGCTCTTTAATATTTATCATAAAGCAATAGCAGCATAATTGAGATGAATTTTGATTTCCTTGTTTTATAACTAAAGAAATATCTGTTTAACCACAGGAAAAAATATGCTATATTCTGTTATTGTTCAAAGTTATGGGCTATCCTTTGGTCTTGCCTTGTAGCTGGTCATCTGATTAGATTGTTTTTAGATCAGATTGTTAATGCAAATGCATTCCTTATCTTTTTGGTCAGGGTGCAACTTAGCTTATAGACACATCAAGCTATAATTGTAAATGCTTTCTGCTTCTCAAGAAACCTATAAAGGATGTATACAGTAGGCTGAGGCATCCCAAAAAGCAAATTGAGTTTCTTTGAAGCTTCATTTTTTAAAATGTATTTTATCTGTTTTTGCATGCTTCTTGTTTATAATAATGTGTCTAAAATAAAACTACATCTTTGTTCAGTCAGATATTAGGATTAGTATAGACACTGGTATAAATAAACCATGTCCCATCTCTTAGTCATTTCACTGATTCTCCCACCATGTCTCCCTCCTCATCTCCACCTCCTGGCTTTCTTGGCTTCCTTCAAGTTCCAGCTAAAATTCCATCTCCTATAGCAAATTCTTTCCTGATTCCCCCTTAATTTTAGTGCCTTCCCTGTTGTTTTGTGATAGTCCTATGGTGTAAGTAAATCTCTTCTGGGAAGAGGTAGGGTTCACCTGTTGACCTTTGCTTTCTACAACTGGGATCGTGGTGCCATACTTCTCCTTTGTAGGTGTGGCTATCTATAAGTTAAGTCCTTATCCTAATGTCCAGATTGTATCTAAGGAGAGGCCTGTAGGGGAAAACAACCACTTAATGAGTTCAGATGCTGAGAATAACATGTAGAACAAAGGAAATCAGTTCAGCGCAAAGCTTTGTTGCAAAGGGGAAGTGGGAAGGAGATAGTGAAGGTGAACTAATATACAACTCATTTACGTACTAATATAGAGTATAACTGATGTAAGAGCCACATGGCATTGGGAAGCATAGAGACATGGGTCCATTCAGTGGGAAGGCGTGTTCCCGCTGGAGGGGAGGGTATTTTCCAAAGTACACTTCTGAGAGTGAGGCACTTATATTCTGACTTTGGGTGGCCCCCTTGGAGCTGGCCCATTTGCTTATCAGGGCAAAATATTTTGGGGGTTTGCATGTCAGGGAGAAAAAGAAACTAGTGGTAGACAAAATATTATTTGGGGTACACAGCCATACTAAACTTCAAAAATATTGTCAGTATTTTTCCATGAATGTATTCTATAAGCTTACAGCCTCCCTTAAGAGGAGATTATCAGGAAGATCTCAAGATCATCAGACCTTACGTTATAACAGTGGTTTCCATGCATAGATTCCATAAGCTACAGCCTTCCTTAAGTCTCAAATGGTCTCAAAGACCACCAGGCCTAATCTTATAATTCTATTGATCATGTCTAAGTATCTTTTATACAGCTTGTTTGTAACTAGTTGTTTGCATGTTTTCTTCCCTATTAGATGGAGTTCCTTGAGTGCAGGGACTTGTCTTTTACCTTTCTTTATATCCCTACTTAGTACTCTGCCTGTCCTGTAGTACTCACTTGACAAACGTTTATTGAGTGCCTGACTTATTGAGTATATAGGTCAGTAGCTTTTGCTTTATTTCTCCCATTAGGAACCACATGATTTGAAAACCAGTAATAAAATGCTTAGCCAGCAAATGTGTTCTCATTATCAATTAATAAAGACAGCTATATGTTGTATCCAGCACTTTCAGGCATATTAAGTCATAATAACATTTCTTGTTTTGTAGTGATGGCACAAGAGCAAGAACCACATAATGAAGAACCTCCAAATATTAAGATCATAAAAGAAGCATACAAGCAGGCCTTTGTATTTGTTAATAAAGGACTGAATGCAGACGAAATGGGGCAAAAGGAAAAAGCAAAGGATTACTACAGTAAAGGAAGAGAACATCTACTCCAAGGAGTCAGGATTTCAGCTTCTGGGCCTGAATGCACAGGTTCTGATTGGGAATCTGCTAGACAGATGCAACAGAAGATGCAAGAAACATTGAAAAATGTCAATACTAGGTTGGGAATCCTGGAGCAAAATCCTTCCTCTTTTGTTCCAAGTAATCTTCACGAAGAGTCCCAGTTATCTGCTGTGTTGCCCCCTAATGGAAAGCCAGAAAAGCCTTGTCTGCCTCCATCTTTGATTTCACCATCTGTACAAACGGAAGTTAATGGGAATTCTCCCTCCACAAGCATGGAGCAGCCTTCTGTGGTTAGTCCTGTATCTTTGGAAGCACCACCTGCTTATACACCCTGTGCTGCAGATGGGCACTATACTCTCTCCTATGGAACAGAATCTGGGGAATTTTCATCTGTAGGTGATGACTACTATGCAATTTCTACTCGCCCACCTCCTCTTGAGACTCTAGGAGTAGATGTAGAAGAGTTAATTTTAATACCCAGTGGAGTACAGATTTTCTTTGTAACTCCTGCAGGGGAAGTTAGTGCACCTTCATATCCTGGATATCTTCGAATTGTGAAATTCTTGGACACTACCAGTGAAGCGGCTCGAAATCGGCCCCCTGGATTTCTTCAGGTAACAAGTAGAAAAAAATTTTAAAAGTGGAAAGCCACCTGACACAATGTTATCTTTAGTTGCTTATGTTTTATGCTATATCTAGGCTAATAGTCACAGAAGGTACTTTGGAAGTTCTAGTTCCTTTGAGCTCTACCACAAGAAGTTTAGAGGGTTGAGATGAGTCAGAGGTGCATTTGGTTTGTTTCAGAGATTTTTTTTTAAGATGGCCATTCATCCTAGAAGAAACAAAACTACCAGTCAGTTACTCAGTAAACATTTATTAAGCACCTCCTATGTGCTAGACACTGTGCTAAGTCACACAGAAAAAAAGGTGGTTCCAATTAAGTGTCCATGCGCCTTTATTAAATCTTCCTTTCATCAGAAAATTATTTCAGCTAAGGAGCACTGACACTGTCTATTCTATTTATTGTGACTTTTGCTGCTATGTGATGTTTTCTTTCTTTACATAGTTGAAATCGTTGTATGGTTCTGCTTTTTCTAGAAAACCCATTACTGATCTTAAGAAATGTGTCCAGTCCTTTCTATGAATAAACTCAGTGAGACTGAGTCCAACTTTAACATCAACATTGAGTTAAAGGATTGATATTTACAGACTATGTATGTGCTCATATACTTAAGCTGTAATTAGAATATAATTAAAAGAAATAAACAGCTAAAGTAAAACTGAGAGAGACTGTAATAGTGAATGTAGGAAAGATTGCCTCAGTGAAGAGGTCTTAAGAAGGACCAAGGCAAAGATTCTTTTTTTTTTTCCATTGGGGTTTGTTTTTGTTCTTTGGCCCCAGTACCTTATGCTTAGTAAATGTTTCATCTGAAATAAATGCTTATGAACTTTGGGATAGAAGAGAAAGATGGATGTCTGAAACACTTTTTAGTGATCAGTTTAGAGTGCTAAGGGTTTTTCCCCCTCTCTGTATTGTAAAATAGTGGGAGAACCAATTTTCATGTATCTGCTGTGAAGGAAAAGAAGATGTTTGCACATAGTTAATAGTGAAGCAAAGTCATGTTGTGAATATTATACTTAATTACAGGAGCCTGTATTCTAAAATTAGCTCTTTTAGTTAAAATTTAAGTTCCTTACATAGGATATATCTCTGTTTATTTGCCTAGCCGTGTCGTGAGTTCTTTTTTAATCCCTCCTTTGGTATTCTTTTTTTAAATCAATTTATTTTAAACTTAAATACTAAAACTTAAATGCACAATAAGAACAGAAAAAGAAACATTATAAACTTAAGTACTAAAAGTTAAATACAAAATAAGAAAAGAAGGCATTGCAATGTACACAGCAGAATGTAAGAAAGATTCAAAATGTACAGCAATAAATTTCCATTTCAAGAAAGCCTATAAAATAAATGCTACACATTGTGTCTAGAGCTGTCCATATACTTAGATATCTATAATCATATTCGTATACAGACATGCACATTCATATTCATCTATGTAAGAACATACTATACTTGTTTGTTCTCTTTTTCTCTGAGGGTAGATGACATCTTCCTTCATAAGTCCAAGTTTTTCCATATTTTTCTAAGTCCACCAACTCATCTTTCCTATACCACAGTAATATTTCAACTTTATACTATCTAGTTATTTTAAATACTAAACCAATACTGATTAATATAGTTGACATATAGTGTAGTTTCCCTATTTTTCTCTTTTGATTAAAGTCTATTTTACCTTTAACTTTATCTGAGATCATGATTACTACCACCACTTTTTTTTTCCTAATAAATTCTACCCTTGATCTTATCCTTTGGTATTCTTAAAGCAAAATTGTGCCCCAAACTTCATTTTATTTAACTGGTGTCTTTTTTGAAAGGGAGCATATTCAAGTATTTATGGAAAATACAGTTTAAAGGAATGCAGTTTTTTTCTCTCACATCCTACCCCCAATTAATGTTCAGAAGTTGAGTTGTTAGAGCTCACATTAGTTCCTTGCATCTCAAAAACTACTAAAGTTGTTCTTCCTGTACTGTTGAATTTAATTATAAAGTGATAGCTTTCCTTCTTGGCTTATGGAGATCTTCTCTTGGAAAGTGAATTTGTTTGTGGTAAGTAAACAATAGGACCCTACTAAAGGTTTGCCAATGCTTTTTATCTAAGCTTAACCTGTAGCAGATCTTGTCTGTGTTGTTAAATATTTGGAATTTTTCCTTCTGAAAAGTTTGTCCCAAAAGATTTTTTATATCTTCTCTTTTGTAATTGTAAATGTATTCATAATAATATAAAAGAAAATGGGATAGTTTGTAGAATAATTTAATAATGATAATCTGCTTTTTAAGAAGGGGAAGGATTTTAGGAATGAAGTTTACTAATCTTTGGATATCTCACAGCAATAAAACTGTACTATTCAATAATGAATTCACAATTTTAATTCAAGCTGTTATTTCATAACCAATGACATAGTTTTTCTGTTCTAGCTCCAAATTTGATCCATTAGATAAGGCCACATAAAATTATTGAACCATAATACCAGTAGTTTGTTGATAAATTGTCTTGCTTCAAGGTTTACACTTTACCCAAAGAGATGACTGGTTTGAATAATAAAAAGCTTAGCTTACTAGAAATTTTGATCATTTTAAGCTATTCCCTTTGCTAGTAAAATTTAACTTTTCCCATCATTGGCTAAGAATACATATATTTTGACTTTTTAATAAACTTAGCCGTTCACTATACTGATCATTCTAGCAAACTAAAATTTTATCTTTAGTGTTTAGTGATAGGTCTTAAGCTTTCTACAATGTCATGTCAAAAACTTGTCTTTGAAATGTTAATTTTCTGTTACTTATTGTTATTTCTGTTATTGATTAGAAAATCTAATATTAGTCCTACCAATAGAACTAATGTTTCAAAATCACTTTAGGTTTGTGATTGGCTGTATCCTCTGATGCCTAATCAGTCTCCTGTACTGAGTTGCAGTAGTGGAGTCTATATGTTCCCAGATGCAACATTACAAATGTCAGGATCCTGTGTAGGTGTAGTCTTATCTTCTGAACTTCCTGAAGAAGATCGAGAGCTCTTTGAAGATCTATTGAAACAAATGTCTGACCTTCGAATCCAGGTAACTTGTGTATCAATATCAATATGTACATTAATGTAAAAGTATTCTGGTATCTAATGCAAACTGCTTTTGTGTCATAAGAATGGGAAGCCAGGCATAAGTTTGAGTAGGACAGTTCACTTTTATTTTCTATCTACATCTGGAAACTTTTTTTAAACTAAAAAGTTGTTATACAATACACGAACACTCCATTCCTGCTCAGCTTCTTTTATTGGATACAGTACCCCATTGGGTCCAAATGTTAAAAGTGAGGTTAATAGGAGCAATAATAGTTGGTTTAACAGGATGGCTAGGTACTAGCATGGGTAGAAACTTGGAGTAGACCATGGAGTCATAAAGTTAGAGCTGGAAGAGATTTTAAAGGTCATTTAGTCAATCTCCTTTATTTGGTAAATAAGGAAATAAACCAACAGAGGTTAAGTGACTTGTCTAAATAAGTAAATGGCAGAGCTAGGATTCAAACCGAGTCCTCTGACTCCAAATGAAGTACTTCCTTACAGCATCTCTCCCCACCCCCCCAATCTCTGCTGAAGGTAGAAGTATTGGTTATGGAGGACTGTTTTTAATATAGTCATATAGAATTTAGGGATCAAAAATAGGAAAGAAATACAATTGGTTTTTACTGTTACTTTGTGAGTTTTTTTTTCTCTACCCTGTTCTTTGTCATTTCCCCTGCCTCCTTACTGGGGAAACTGAAATAGTATTTATATCATTTAACAAATATTGATTAACCACCTATTGTATCAGTAACTTTCTAAGGCATTAGGAATACAAAAACAAAGTAGGAAACAATCCTGGCTCTCAAAGAGCTTATGTTCTATCCCATACATGTGTAAGTATGTACAGAATAAATATATGCCCCCTAAAAGTGTAGTAGAGAAATAATATTTATAACCTATGTTAACCTCTCTAGGCTTTTTTCCTCTTATAAATGAAGGAATTGGAGTAGATGATCTCACTGGTTCACCTAGATACTTAAATCAGCATCTACTTTGCTAGTGCCTTTGTCTCCCAGTCATATGGGAAAATGGAGCACAGCAATAACATCCCATAATAGTAACTCTACTCTTACTGTTAAGCTATATTATTCCTCTGCTGACAGTGTTTTCTATAATGTAATAATTCTGGTTTTTTTTTCCACCCAAAATATGCTTTCTTTTGTGAACTATCGATTCTCTCCATTTCTCAGCCCATACCACCCATGTCACAGTCTTGAAAGTAGATGATTATTTCAGTGACGTTATCAGTGTTGAAACTGATCTTCTCTGCTTCTCCATGTCAAGACGCCTGGACATCACTCTCCACTCTCTCCTTTCTTTCAGGCTCTGATAATGAGGTAGCCTTCCTTGTCAAGATCAACCCTTCTTCATCCTTTCCCCTTCTGTCTTTTCCAGCAGATTGCTCTTTCCCTCTCATATTTGTCACCTTCACGTTATCTTCAACCTTGTCCTCTTCCCTCTCCCCATCAACTTTTTCCATCCTTGCTGCTCATGAACATGCCCAAGTTTCCTCCATTCCTAAAAAGCATTTACTAGACTCTACTGTCTCTTCATACTATTATTGTTTCTTTCCTCTCCTTTTCAGCCAGACTCCTTGAAAAAGCTATCATCAATTGATGCTTCAGCTCCTTTCTTCTTACTCTTCAAACCTTTATAGTTTGGTTTCCAGCCTCTTAACTGAAATTATTCTCTCCAGACTTACTGACAATCTCTTAATTGCCATATCTGATGGTCTTTTCTTAGTCTTCATTGCCTCTCTGCATTTGACACTTTTGACAGGTCTGTTCTGGATATTCTCTCCTCTCTGGGTTTTCCTGACACTAATTTCTCCTGGTTCTTCTCTTATCTGTCTGACCTCTCCATGGTTTCTTTTTGTTGACAGTGGATAGAATTTACAGGAATTTAATGCTTAGAGAGTACCACTTTGGAAAGGTTGTTGTGGCTTCAGAGCTCCTGGGTACAATCAGGATCCAGAAGAAGGGGAGGGTAATGGACCCATAGAGGATATTCCATTGTGAATGGGAAAGAAAACAGTTTTGAGGAAGACTAGAGGTAGAAGTGGACTAACTGTCAGAGACTCAGACAAATTTCTACCATGGGGAGCAATACTTAACAGCCTCACTACTTCTCAAAGTACTTCTAAGAGTGATTGCCACTTCTAAGAATGAGACAAAAAAGAGGAGGGAGAGGGTAAGATTTATAAGACAATAACATAAAAATTGTTTAAAAGGCAGAACTCAAAATTGGTATTTTAGAATTTTTATTTCTGTGAGGGACACAAAGAGACTAAAGAAGGAATAAATATAAAGATCATAAAGAATAAAAGTTGAGAACAAACAGAACAGCAAAAGAATTAATGAAGAGAATAGGGTAAAGAAATCTCTTAAGAAAAAGGCATAGAAAAAAAATTTTAAACCAAGTAAATGAAGAAGAGGAGAGAAGGGAAGATTTTAATTAACCACTTAACTGGGCGGGGGGATAAAGAGAAGAATTAGGTAATTAAATTAAAGGAAGAAAGTTTCCTTTGCTGGCTCATCATCCATGAAATATCCCCTGTCTGTGGGACTACCTTAAGGCTGTGCTCCAGGAGCTCTTCTGTTCTTTCTATACCCTCTCACATAGTGACCTTATCAGTTCCCATGAATTTAATTATCTCTGTACATAAACTCTCAGATCTATATATCCAGCTCTTTTCTGCCCCATGAGCTTTCATTCCGTATCAACAACTACCTATTGGACATCTCAAACTCAGCAATCTAAACCTGAATCCATTATCTCCTCCTTCCAAACCCATCTCTCTACCAAACTTCCCTTCTTCTGTTGAAGACATTACCATTCTTCTAGTTACCCAAATTCATAATTTCAATGTTATCTTGTTTTTCTAACTCTGTACATCCAGTCTTGAATTTCCTTCTGTTCTCTTCTGTGTATTTTTAAAATATTTCATTGACATGATTTCCTTTCTTTCTTTTTTTTTTCCCATCACTGTCATACCCTTCACTCCCTTCCATAAGTCTCACCCTTTGTTGTAACAAGTAAGTACAATCATGCAAAACAATTCCACACATTGGCCATGTCAGCGAATATATGTTTCATTCTGTGACTTTACTCTCTCACTTCTTTGCCAAGAGGTAGGATGAATGATTTGTCTTCTAGAGTTGTGATCAAAGCATTGATCAGAATTCTTAATTGTTTTTCCTTTATAATGTTGTAGTTGTTGTATAAATGTACTTTGGTAGCATCCTGAATTGAAGTAAATATTATAAAAACAATTCAAAATTATAACCAAAAAGTCACTAAACTTTGATACTAAACTTCAATGCAATGATACTATTACTGGTTCTGTTTACTTTATATTGCATCAGTTCATGCAAGTCTTCCTAGGTTTCTCTGAAATTTACTCCTTTGATCATTTCTTGAAGTACAATAGTATTCCATACATTTATGTGCCATAATTTGTTCAGCCATTTGCCAATCAATGTACATTTACTGTTGCCAGTTCTTTGCTACAGCAAAAAGTACTACAATACAAATATTTTTGCGCTTCTGCATCTTTATCTTCTCTGTGGCCTTTTTTAATGTATATTTTGTAGCCAGCCAGTAAGTACTGTACTTTGCGGAAATCAGATCACACTTGGTGTATTGAATTCAATTCAAGGTGAATCATATTAGGAGTTTGTGAATTCCCTATTGCTAGAAGTCTTTAAATAGAGGCTAGATGAAATTAGTTGTGATTTTCTTAAGATATGGGTTGGACCAAATGTTGTTTCTTTCATTTCTGAGATCCTTTGATCTCCTGTTTTCTGAACTATTATGTATATGCTCAGTACCATATGTTTAGGCCAACCAATAATCAGTTGCTGTTGCTTTTAACTTCTGTAAACTTTGTGGCTCCAGTTTGACTATAATCTTCTTAAAGATGGGAACTTTGTCATTTTTTTTCTTGAGTGAATAGCATACTTCCTAATTCTAGGATAAATCTATAATGAATGAGCTTCCCACAACTAGGTTAATCCTCTTGATCTTTATGGATAATATCCCTGGCCTCCCTTCTACTATATCAAAATCTTCCATTGGCCTGGAAAAATCTGTGTCTACCAATCTGCTGTGGATGTGACTTGCCTGTGTCTTCTGGTTACCTCATTCCTATTCAGTTATGAGTTGGACTAGATGACCAGTGAACTCCAAATATAAAATTCTATCATTATTCTATGATTCTGTGACATGTCTGGTAACAGACACCATTCTATGCCCAGATCAGTAATGTATACTACATATATAAATCTTATTAACATCAGATGAAAGGCAGCATTGTTGGAGCAAAAAGCTTAGAAGGCCCAGAACCAGTATGTCTGGTCAACTTCCATTTTCATCATTTAATAGCTACACAAATGTGAATAATTCACTTGACATCTTTGAGCTTTAGTTTCTACATTTTATAGACCAGTCATTGTTAGATGACTATTTTCCTTATAAACCGATCTTAAAACTGTTCTAAGACTTTTGGAACACCCTGTTTGTGTGTGTGTGCGTGTGTGTGTGTGTGTGTGTGTGTATTGTTTATATAAATAACCTATTAACATAAAGATACACAAAAAAGATGGTTGCAGCTTAGTGATAGCCACAAATCATTTCTGATATTGGAGAAGGAAGAAAAGGGCATATGTTGAGATGACATAGGAACAAAAGAATTGGTTCTTGTCTAGCACTGTTTTTTTTTAATCTTCCCAAGGAGTTATTATCGTTACTATAATCAATTTCTCATCTGTATAGTCTTCAGTGGCCTCTTTAAGAGGCATATTCCTAAAGGTTTTTTTCCCTTCATCCTCATTCCTGATAGTAATGATCAAAGAATGAGTACTGCAATGAATTACCTTTTACCCAGTTGCATTCTGACTACTTCCCACTTTTATTCTCCTGCTAGACTGAATTTGTCCGATTAAGCAGACTCAGATATTTCCAACAAAGTATATATTTCTATGCCATGGATTATGATCATACTTTTAAAACTAGGTATATATTAAATATTCATTATACATTTATTTATTGGTTGAATAGTAAGGAAAACATTGGACTAACTCCTACTAGTTTCTAATATATATTTTTTAATGCCAGAAAATTATATTTCCCATGGCAAGTACATGTGAAAAATTAAGTTGCATGTGTTAACAATGAAGACTCAAAACCTCCTATAAACAGTTAAACATAGAGGCTGTAATGACACAGATTCCTCATACCAGGTCTGATAATAGAAGCAGAAACATCGAGAGTCAAGTGGGTATCATATGGCTAAATACTTTTTGGTTGAGTAAATTTCAGATAACCATGAAAGAATTCTCTATACTTATTTGAGTCTGTGTTTGAATATCCTTTACATATTTCTAGAAAAATGTACATTATAGACCAAGGTCAATGTGAGGGAAAACTTCCAAAAAAACCTGGAACTGTCCAAAATTGTAACTACCTCATCCATCTGGAATATAGCAAAATGCAGCTGTCAATTTGAAAATAAGCAAAAGGGTTTAAACAAAAATAGATATAGCAAAATCTATCTGATATATAGCCTTTGCATTTTATTCATAAAAGGGCCCCTTACTCAGAGTATATTTATTCCCATGTACATGCATTCTCCTCAGAATGTTAGAAAGGGGTGAGAAGATGCTACAGGAAGAAATACTGACCTGAAAAAATAGCTTAACAGCAATGAAGGGAACAGAAAAAGCAGGCATGAGAATTCAGTTATAGCAGTCTTCAGTCATTTAGTTTAGGAGCAAATAACCCTAAGTCATGAGTAAAAGCATCAATATTTTACAGGTGTAATTATTGTTGTTTGTAGTTGGTGATGTGTAGTCATCCAAAAGCAGTTAAGTTATATTCAGTATAGTTATAATAGGGTAGGCCCCAAGTAATCTCTAAAACTCTGCTATTCAGAATGACTCATTCTCCAAGGGTTCCAGGTTCCCAAATGAATATACAAATAAGTATGCATCATTTGGGGTATAAAAAAGGTAGCGAGTGCCAGGCATGAAATCAGAGAGATCTGGGTTGAAATCCTGCCTCTTAACACTCATTAGCTGGGGAAGTCATTTTAACCTCTTTGTGCCTCAGGCAACTACTAAAGATTTATGCACTGAGTCACAGGCTGAGATCTGTATTGGTGCAGAAACTGATGAAATCTCAAGTTCTTTGTGTGTGAATATAAAATATAAAATGATGCAAATCAACAATAAAAATGAAGTTGGTATAGTCCTCTTTACCTTAAGCATATAGCTTTTATTATATTGAATGCGGTGGGACAGAGAAGACAATTAGATTAATATGTTGATATATTGCTCTGATTCCCTTCATAATTATACCCTTTCTGCTTTCTGATCTTAGTATTATAACTTAAGGGAATACGTTTTATGTTTTTTTCAAATTCATTTTTCACATATGAATAAAGGGAATTTTCTTGGCATACATTTGGCCAGAGGGTTAATTCATTAAGAGGTTCCCCAGAAGTTTGAAAATTTTCCTTGCCCTTTTTTCTTAATCTGTATTTTATTTTGTAAGCTCAGGTACTAATCTTTTGTTAATATAATTAGGGAAGGGAGATAACTGAGACCTTAGCCTAAATTCTCTTAAATTTCTCTTTTCAGTGACACAAATATTTATTAATAACTTTTTCTTTCCCTGTTTTTCATCTTTATCTTCCAGGAAGTCGAATATCAAATTTGGCTCTTACCTGTAAGGTTTATCACTTATTTATTGGACTAGTTCATACCATCATTTAGTCTGTTTTAGTATTAGGTAGAAACAAATTCCTAAATCTCTACAATTTAGATTAGTACCATTTTAGTGTTCTTTTGGTGCTGCCATTAAACTGAAAAGAAAGGTAACATACTCTAAATGAGTAAGTTCTCTGAATTTTAAAGTATATTATATACCTTAGTATAGATACATTTGAGCTCCTACTATGTACAGTACATTGTTATTGATTCTGGGGGAGATAGTTCATTTAAAATTTCAAAGCATAGAATTTTATTTATTAAAAACTTTCATGAGCTTGTCTTGGGGTGAGATTTTTTTTTTTAGTTGACCTTGTAAAGTTACATGGCTGCTCCTAAGGAAGTAATGTGAACACCACAGTTCGAGGTTTGAATTTTCAGGGACGCAGGGAACAAAAACTGTTTGCCAGAGCAAATAATTCATGTTTAGTGGTCTGCCAATTAGTTGGTATGAATTTGACAGCAGTCTTTGCTGGGACTATAACTAAAGCCTTTACAAACTGTGATAGAATCTTCTAATGCTTGCATCCCCTGATTTAGCCTTTGAGAACCCAAGGTTGACAAATGTTACAATAAAATATCAGGGAAGTATTTTTATGAATGCAACAAAACCAGAAGGAAGGAAAACAAAAGGAATTTGAGTCTATGTAATGCCTGTTGTCTGTTACTTTTGACAAGTATGGCACAATTTAATATTGCTCAAGGAAGGGACTAAAAAAATACATATTAGTTCGCGGTAAGTTTGATCCTTTATTCTCTAGGCCAGCGGGAACAGGGAAAACAGAGAAGAAGTACAAATTCCTGGAGGAGTGAGAATACCATTTGTTCAGTTGAAGGAACAGCCTAGCAAGAATTTGAGGAAATTGGTCCCTTCTGACCAGGGCATTAAGGATGGTGATCGGAAAGAAGGAAGTGGGACAAAAGTAAGTAAAATAAAGGAGTAGGATTAGTCTGCTGTAGAAAAATTTCCAAGAAAGAGGTGGTTACAAAATATGGAGAAGTAGAAACACTTAATTAAAAGTTAAGAGGAAGAAACATAAAAAACAAGATAATGGTGGTCCTGTGAATCCATCCCATAGTATGACTGTGCCTTTGTAATCACTGCTGGCTAATAGATTCTTGTGGTAACCACTATAAGGCACACAAAATTTGGAGTAATGTAGTCATAATTTCAGGAGAGAGACTATTACATTTATTTTCATGTTTTGGTTTTCCTGGTGTTCTAAAATAGATTGAGGGAAGGCATAAAGAATTATTTGAGGAATTTAGTCCTATTGCAGTGACACACAGTAGTTTTCATTAATCTTTGACATTCTCATCTCCATTTACTAAAAAATAATTCACCTATAGTTACAAAATAATCACTGGTAATTAATTAAAATATCTAACATTTCTACTTTCATTTTAAATCTGGCTAAAGCAAAATAACAGTTTTAGGTAAGGCTCTGCATATCTGTGAGAGAGGAACATGGTTTTTCAGATATTTTGAAAGATTTTTTTCCTTTAGTATTTCTTTGCTTTAAAGAAATCACATTTATGTCTTAAACATATCTTGGTTCACAAGTAGAAGGACTGAGCCTTTATTGTGTCCCTGACTCTCCATATCTCCTCATAGGAGTATAGGTACATTGTCAGGCTGACAGCCTAGTAGGGATAGGAGAGATATTAGTGCATACTGTGCTAGGGGTGGGTGTTCACTCAGACAGTGAAGACTGACTTGCTTCTGAATGCTTTGATTCAACTTTCTGAGGCTCTCCCTAAGATAAATATATTCCTTTTTTAGACATATATTGGTTAGCAAAAGTTGCAAAACAAGAAAAAGAGGGAGGCCTTTTCCTTCTCTTAATGGAGAGATAGTTATATACAGGAGGGTGAAAAAATTTAGTGGAATAACAGAACCATTATAAATCATTTCCCTTTTTTGATGCATTAAACCTGTCTTCTCTACCATTTGAAACAAAATTTAATTTTTCCTTTGCTTTACAGTTCTTGCCTGTCTTCTTTCTCTAAAAGAAAGTTAACAATAAAATATTTACTTTTAACAAAGAAAAACAAAGTAAAATGTTATTGCCAAATGGTAGAGACTTCTGGAGGGGTCCCAGAGCTGGGGAAGAATTCAGGGAAACAGTGAAACTTTTTAATGATCCATTGTCACAGATTTTTATGGGAGGAAAGTTTGGAAGAATTCATATTTTTACGAAGGAAAACAAAATAAATGTTTTTGTAGCTAGATGCTTTTTCTTTTGTGTACCTAATAGATCTTATTTTCTTCTACAAAAAGATTTATAGATTAACACTTGCTTCTTTAGTTTAACCATTTGTATAACAATTTAGCTTTTTAAAAATGTAATTCCTACCCCTTATATCCACCTGCACCCCAGAGGCCTGCTATATTAGGGTTATATTTTGGGTGATTTTTTTTTTCATTTCACTATATTTTGTTTCTTATTTTATAAGTATTATTGAGGAATGGGAACCAGATGTTTTTAAGACTGCTAGAAGACTGTATGTACACACATGTTTGAATTTTAATTGTTTATTTGCATGTTTTTATATTTGAGGTATGTATTATATAAAATGCCTTCAGTGTTATACTTGTGAGCATACATTGAAGTTGGATAAGGTTTGTTTACTATTTTGTGATGGCCAGGCTTTCTGGTGATACATTTACTGAATAAAAGAATGACAGGGAGGTTTTTCTTTTTTTGTGATCTCTGAAAGAAAACCATACAACAAAGCTATTTTTTGTTGCTGTGAGTCATGGAAAAAAATAAATGGATGCAGGCTGCCAGTACACTGCCACACAAAGCAGAAGATAATTTGCTTAAGTAATGGAGTGTGTGTGTGTGTGTGTGTGTGTGTGTGTGTGTGTGTGTGTGTGTGTGACAGAGAGAGAAAACGGGGAAGAGAAGAAGAGGAGAGAGTGCAGCAGCTAATGTAGAAAGAACATAATATTAAATGAAGTGTTGTGTCTAGATTTTAAATTTAGGAAATTTTATGGGGAAGACTTGAAAGGATTAAGGGACCAAGTAACATGAATCAGTTTAAACTTTTCCAGCTCATAATTAACATGGTAAAAATGTTTCCTAAAGAATTGATACAAATATAAAAGAACAATAGAGGCTGTATAATGGTGGATTGGATAGGGAACTGGCCTTGGAGTTAAGAAAATCTTAGATCAAGTCCTGCCTCTGATACATACAGGTGACCCTGGGCAATTGCCTCAATCTCTCAGTGCCAAAGACGGTTGTCTATAAAAGGCACTAAACTGCATTGGTAGAGGGAGTATGAACTGATGCAGGATAAGTAAGCAAAACTAGGGGCACAATTGTAAAGTAACAACAGTATTGTAAAGACAATCAACTCTGAAAGAATTAGCAACTTTGATCAACCATAATTCCAAAAGACTCATAATGAAACATGCTACCTACCTCCAGATAGAGCTGATGAACTCAGAGTGCAGATAGAAGCATATCTTCTCTTTTGGGTGTTTGCATGATAATACATATTTGCAATGGGTGTTGTTTTTCTTGCCTTCTCAATGAAGGGGTGGAAGAGAGAGCAGAATTTAGTAAAATGAAATAAAATTGGAGGAAATTTTTAAATTGGTTTAAAAAGAAGGAACCTAAGAAAGAAAAGAATATCAATTTTAAAAAATTTAAATTCACAGAAGAAAAGTTCAGAAAAGGACATAAGCAGAACAATTTTGTTATTAACTTCTTTAATATATACTTTAAAAAAACTTGTACATAGAAGGGTCTTATTTAATATACAGTCCTGTTTTTGTTCATATTATCTATTTAAGTGTTTGTATTTGATTAAATTCATCGTACATTTTTATGTGTTGTAAAATATAAAAATAACTCGCATATATAACACCTGCAATATTTACTAAGTGTTTTCTTCCTAACAGCCTTGGGAAGTATGTAATTTAAGTGATGTCTTCATTTTAACCAATGAGGAAAGTGAAGGTAAAGGAACTTACTTGTTTATGATAACTGTCAAAATCAGAAGAGGGTAGTAGAAAATACTGGATTTGTAGTGGGAAGATATGAGCTAAAAATCCTACCTCTCTTCTTTACGATCTGTATGACCCTGAGCAAGTCATTTAACATCTCTTAGTCTCTCTTGCCTTGTGTACAATGGGCATAATAATAATAATAGTTACTGTACCTGCATCAAAGGATTGTTGTGAGGATAGCACCATATAAATGTAATATGTTCATTACAATTATTTTTAATAAATGAAGTCTCTTGACTACAAATTCACAATTTTCCATCATACCATGCTGATACCTATTTATACATACATACACATAAATCTCTTCATAAATCTTTATTTCCAATGTTACAATCCACGTGAAGTTGCAAGTGGAAGAATCCAACACCATTACTGCTTTCTAGAAGAGCTCTGTCCTTATTCAAAAGAATTTGACCTGACCATCTACACACGAAGTATGTCTGTTGCTCAGATTTCAGTATATATATGAATGAACATCCTGTGTCCAGCATCATATATATCTGGGCCAGACAATACAGATGGACAGTGAAGTAGGTCCAGAGTTGAAAAAGAAGAGAACAAGCTAGAAATTAACTGCAAAGCACTTTTACTGATCCCAGGTTGCCATAATAGCAAAGAATTGTCTTTCTAATTAAAGTTGTTTTTTTTTTGCTGGTGTTGCTATACGGCAGCAAGATATGAGATGATATTATCTCCGAAGAACTCAAAATGAGCGAAGTGAGAAAGATGAGAAAAGTTCATGGTGGGTGTGAGCAAACTACAATATACATGAAGCATTCCAATGAAAAACAAAAGTGAAGGATGTCATTGAGGATTTGTATGACAGAAAGAGAAAATGAGATGGTCACATAGCAGCGATAACAGTTGCACAGCCAGAATGCTCCAGTAGTACCAACTCAATGTCAGGAGAAGGTGAAGGTGGAGCCCTTGTGTTTGACTTTTGGGAAGAAAATGGATATGAGTCACACAGAATGGTCAGGCATTGGAGGGAGCTTCTGGATTGATGAGATCATAGATCCATTTGAATATATAAGAGGATGGTGGGAAATAGGAAAAGTATTGTTCATGAAACCAGGGAAAACAGGTTCCCTATAGGAGGTCTAAATAAACAAGATCTTCCCAAAAGATTTATAGATGAAACTAGAAAGACAACAATTAGATACTCAAACAGATTTGCTATCATTTCTACAGTGATCTATTCTCATCATCATTGAGAATGGAAACTCAACATTTTTGTACTATATGTAGTATATGAAGAAGTAAAAATGTCACTTGACAAGATGAAGTTACAGAGAATGACTGAATGTGACAAAATATTTACAAAAAAATCTAAGCTAGAGGTGACAATTTTTGAAGGTACTCAGATTAATTTTTAATATATCTCAGAAATATTCCTAAGGAATAAAAAAAAAGTCACAGATTCCATTACAGAAAAAAAAAGGGAAATTCAAAAGATACCATCTTATGAGTTATGTTTTCTCATCTTTCTTAAGTCGTTAGGAGAAAAGTATATGTACATGTCAAGGTTGTTCTTGGTCAAAATACAAAAAGAACAAGGAGATTTTCACAGAGTTTATGATAGCAGATTATATCTTCATAGTCACATAATTGAAAGATACAGAATATACAAAATCTTGCTGTTTATTTAATACAGAAACATTTAGTTCAGTACTACAAAATAAAACTTTAATAGCTTTCATTCAATAAAATATCTACCATGTATATATTAATATAATAAAATATTCCTTGATGGTTGTAGCCACAGAAAATTTTTTCACTGATTCACTTATGATCAGTATCGGGCATGACTTAGAAGAAGAGGTGTATATTTGTCACAGGTGTTTGTACAGGACGTCCACTGTGATAGTGGTAGAGTCACAATGGAGTGGGGATTCTACATCCATGGTAATATTATCCACTTCAGTGGTTTTTAACCTTTTTTAGGTCATGGACCATTTTGTAGGTCTTGCAAAGCTTTTGGTTCACATCTCAGAATAATAATTTTAAATGCATAAAATATAAAATACATAGGATTTCAAAGGAAATCAGCTACACTGAAATAGTTATCAAAACAATTTTTTTAGAGTTCATGGACTCCAAGTTAAAAAATCCCTGGTCTAGATTCATGTTTGTGGATAATACTGTGTCAGTAAAATCATCCTCCATACACAGAATTACAGAATTTGAAAGTAGGAACATACATTATTGGCCTTCTAGTCCAATCCATATGATAGGGCCTCCTCAAAAGAGAGTTACCTAGGAATCCGTGTAGGAAAAATTAAGAAGAATATTTTCGAGATTATGACATGATGAATAACTCATTGAGTCATCTGGCAGCACATGTACAATGGACAGGCAATGAAGAATGACAATGAATTGGGCCCAGAGTCAAGTAAGAGAATAATAGGTTGGAATAATTTTTGGGAAACGGTGTATGACTTTGAGCCCTCCCAGAAAACAAGCCCGTCTTTCCAACATTATTGTTATATCCACCCAGCTACTCCCTGCTCTTTTTATCTCCTTTTTATGTCTTACCTTCTCCCACTAGATTGTGAGCTCCTTGAGAGCTGGGACTTTCTTTTGCCTTTCTTTGTATTTTCAGTACTTGGCATGGTATGTAACAGGTACTTAATAATATTTATTGATTATAGTACTGTGTGTGTATTCTTCATCTTTAAGTCTAAATGTGATATCTGTTCAAATATACTGCATTATTTGAACCAGGTGAATAAGGTTTTATCATTATTATTAAATTAAACTTGTGTGATTATTATTGCAGTCATTACATTAAACTGCCTATACCCTTTGACTCAGCAATACCATTACTAGGTCTGTTTCCAAGATGATTAGGGAAAAAGGAAAAGGACCTATATGTTCTAAAATATTTATTGTAATAAATAGTAAGTATTGTACTCTCTTTGTAATGACAAAGAACTGGAAAATGCAGGGATGCCCGTCAATTCGGGAATGACTGAACAAGTTGTGGCAAATGGTTGTGATGGAATACTACTGTGCTGTAAGAAATGATGAGCTCAATGATCTTAGAAAAACATGGACAGACTTGAACAAAATAATGAAAAATGAAATGAGCAGAACAAGAGAATGTAACAGCAATTTTAAGAACAACTTTGAGCAAATAAGTTATTTTGACTATTATAAATACCCAAATTAATTACAAAGGACATATGAAGGAATATACTGTCTGCATCCAGAGGAAGAACTAATAAATAAAAGTATGTATTATTTTACGTATGTGTACATATTTGTGTCTAATGGTAGCCATCTGTGGGGTGGAGGGAGGGTAGAAAAACAAGAAATTTACATGATAACTTTATGATATATTTAAAAGGAATAGCAAGTTATACATAATAGATTTGTAATTCATGTGCAATCTTTTTAAAAATTATACTGTGTTATAGAAAGACTTGTTTTATTCCATAAATTAAAAATTAAATAAATAAAAATTTAAAAAATACTGCTGTTATGAATAGTTTTACATAGATGGAACTTTTTTCATTCAGTGACATTTTAGTATATAACTGAAGTAGGATAATTAAGACATTAGTTTCCCAACTCATATTCAGAGTTGCTTATCAAAAAGATTTCACCACTTTGCATCTCTGCCAATAGTATAATAGTGTTCCTGTTCTTCCATAGCCTGACAGTATTGAATTTAATATTTCTAATTATTGTTAAAAATGTTATGTTGGTATAAAGTGGTATTTAGGAATTGCTTTTAATTTGCCTTACTCTGAATACTAGAGAACTTAAAACAGTTTTTCGCATGATTAATTATTTCATTTCCTTAAATATCTTCTCATCTTTAGGCTGCGGGTACTTCAAGTGAAGAAATTAATCTGAGTCAGGTTGTACCCTTCCAACCAATTCCTGAAGAAAATGTGAGAGTGTTACCTGAGTGGAGTGAGAAAGTATCTCAGAATATTTTATCAGGTACTAGGGATAATGCTATTTTTAAAAAAAATTTAAGCATCTTTTCTCAATCAGTTGGAAAAACCTGTGGGAGTGAGTGCCCAAGAAGCATTGCTTTTGAATGACACCTGTCAGAAGCATAAGGCTTTCCTAATAGGATAATAAAGGGTTAATATACAAATATGTATCAATGTACAAAGTACAATGTTTTCTTATATTAAAGATCTCTCTTTTCACTTCAGTTTAATGTTCTTCTAAGCCTGTTTTGTTGGTAAACTCTGGTTTCCTTCGAATCACTATTTCCTATTTGGTACTAATCTTCCCACTTAGTACTTTCTCCCTACCCTTTCATCTCCCCTAAAAATATTACTTTCTATTTACTTTGTTTATATTTTAAATGTACTTATAAGTGTACATATTGTTTCTCTTGATAGAATGTAAGAGAAGAGACCATTTTTTTAATCTTTGTATTGTCATTACCTTACCTGTTACCTGGCTTATAGTAAATACTTAATATAATCTTGCTGGTTGATTGCTTCTGGTTAACCACAGGGAATTGAGAGGGGTATAAAGTAAAACCTTAGCAGTCTTTAGAAGAATCATCTGGAACCTTCAGCCTTTCTGAATTGTTAGGAGGTAATTTACCTCTCTGCAACTTTCAGTCAATGAATATTATTAAGCATCTGCTGTGAGCCACAATAACCACTCTTTCTTCTAGACTCTGAGAATAAGCAAACAAATGTAATCCCTCTTCTTTGTGATAGCCTTTCAGATACCTAAAGGTAGCTATTATATCCCCTCAAAATAGTTTTCTTCTACTTGACAGACATCTCCAGTTCCTTCAGTCCTCCAATGGCATCATCTCCCATTTCCTGACCATTGTTCTCTTGTCATGCTCTAGCTCAGTGTTATCAAACCGTACATTGCAAGCCTCATACTGACTTAGAAAACCACATATTCACATTATCTGTGTTCTATTATATATTTATTTTGTTAAAGATATTCCAATTACATTTTGATCTGATTCAGGACACTCCGGAGTATTGTGGGTTGTGTGTTTGACCCTTCTGCTCTAGCTTGTCAGTGTAGTTACATGTGAAATTTATCAAAAAGGTACAATGAGGCAGGTTTCTCTGAGCAAGATATTATTAACAGGGACATGGAATCTGATAATAAAAGGTCAATGGCTTGACTCCCTTTATGCCAAAGACTCCAAATTGAAGATGCAACTCATTTTTATAAGCGTAGAACAAGGAACAGAAATCATATCATTGATTAAGGGATGAAGGATCATTATTGGTTATATCAAAGAAAGTGGTCATAGCTCCCACAGGAAATCTAGACTGCCTCTCTCTACCTCTAAGGAATGATTTTGTGAATTTCATGGGTCCCAACTACATCCTGAAGTTACTGATAAGGACTCAGGTATACACTGGTACTTGGGGATTAGATAAGGCCACTTTAATTTCTAAAGATGGGACAAGATCAGTGAATACAGCTTCTGAAGGATAACACACAAACCTTGCAGGAAATGCTGATTTAATGTTTTATGAAAGTAATAAGAACAGAGGTTTTCTTTGACAGTCATTGTGGGAAAGCACTTTTACAGCTTCTTTTCTCAAGAGACAGAGAAGAGACTTTATAACTTTGTTACATAGAATATAGAATATAGTTACAGAATAAAATCACAGAGTAAAGGCATATATAAAATAAAGGATCAAGAAATAATTCTCTCAGTGTCCTTTCTAAACTGTAATATCCAGAACTTAACACAAAGCTTCAGATCTGGTCTAACCAAGGAATAGTTCAGCAAATCTATCAACGTTTGACCCTGTGCCTCTAAAAATCCAACCTGAAACTGAGTTAGCCTTTTTGGCTGTCTTATCACACTGTTGATTCATTGAACTACTAAAATCTCTACATCTTTTTTTACTCTAACTTGTCTTGTCATACCTATTCCATTTTGCACTTGTAAAGTTTTTATTTTTAATATCAAATAGGTCAGTTTGACTTAAATGTAGAATAAATGAGGAGAGTAATGTGCAATGAGTCAGGAATGGTTGGCTGGAGTCAGATTATGAAGGGCTTTAAATGCCAAACCAGAGGAGTTTGTTTTATCTTAGAGGTAGTAGGAAGCTACTGAAGCTTCTTGAGAAAGAGAGTGACAGGGTCAGGCTTATGCTTTGGCAAGATTATTTTGGCAGATACATAGAGGATGGATTGGAGAGGGGAGAGATTGGAATTGAAGAGACTAATTAGGAGGCTATGGCAGTAGTCTAAGTGACAGCTGGTGAGGGCCTGAACTAAGGTGGTAACTATGTGAATAGAGAGAAACAAACAGAAGTGAAAGTTATTGGGGAGATAGAATCAAGAAAACTTAGTAGCTTTTGGACATAGGGAAGTCTAGAAGAAGGAAGAATTAAGTCTGATTCTAAGGTTTTGAGTCTGGGTGACTAAAAGAAAGATGGTACCCTTAACAGAAATAGGGATGTTTGGAGGAAAAATAGATTTTTCTTTGTAGGGAAGCAGTAAATTCAATTTTTTTTTAAGCAGTTGGGGTTAAGTGACTTCCCCAGAGTCACATAACTAGTAAGTGTCAGGTGTTTGGTCTGAGGTCAGATTTGAACTCAGGTCCTCCTGACTTCAGGGCCGGTGACTTTATCTACTGCACTACCTAGCTGCCCCAGTAAATTCAATTTTTACCATATTGAATTTGATAATCCTATAGAGCAGGCAGTTGGTGATAGATGAGTAGGGCTTAAGAGAGAGAGAAAATCTAGGGCTAGATTATAGATATTGGAGTTATCTGGATCAAGTTGATATTGGATTCATGGAGTTTAAAGTACTGAGAGAGGGCATAAAAGAGAAAAGCAGAGGCCTCAAGACAGCTTTGGGGAACACCCACAGTTAGTGGGTGGACAAAATGATGATCTGGTAGAGGAGCCTAAAAAAGAGATAGGAGAACTAAAAAAACAGTTTGATCAAAGCCAGAGAGGAAAGTATATCCAGGAGAAGTCAGTAGTGCCATATGCTGTCAAGAAGAATGAAGACTGAGAAAGCCATCAGGTATAGAATAATTCAGTTGAGTGGAAGCCAGATTGAAACTGAGTGAGAAGGAAATGGAAGGAAGGAAGTGGTGAAGAGTATGGATAACTTTTTCTTGTTTGTTTTTATGAGAACTTGGCTATGAAAGGAAAGAGAGATATATGTGAAGATAGCTTGAGGAGGTAGTGGGGTCAAGGTAAGCTCTTTTAAGCATGAGAGTTAATTGAGTGTGTTTATAGGTCACAGAGAAGGAGTTAGCAGATGGAGACTGATGATTAGAAAAGGGGGAAAAGAATAATTAAAGGCTCAAGCTTCCAGAAAGGAATGGGATCATGGTTACAGTTAGAAAAATTGACCTTGGTGAGAGAAGGACTGCCTCAACTGCAGCTGGAACAAAGCAGGAAAAAAGGGGGAAGGGGTTGATGAATAAAGATTTTGAGGCACAGAGTAGGGAAGAAAAGAAACTCCTAATGGATGGCCTTTATTTTTTCAGAAAATGTGAGGCCAGATCCTCAACTGAGAATGATAGTAGGGTGGAGGGACAGTATATAAGGCTTGAGGAAAGAAAAGATTTGGAAGAGCCGCTGTAGGGAACATGATATTAGGGAAGACTAAAGGATTGTTGTGGAGTGGGGAAGACCCCGTTGAGATTTGTGCCATTGGTTCTGTGATTGACTCTAGTGTTATTCAGTATCATATGAGTAGTAGCAGAGAAGATGGATGGTAAAGGTACTCAGAGATAAAATTTGGAAAGGCATATAATATAAGCTCCTTGAGATCAGGGTTCATTTTGTGTTCAAATCCTAGACTCATAGCACAGTGTCTGACACATAGTAGGCTCTTCATATATATGTGTGTGTGTGTGTGTGTGTGTGTGTGTGTATACACACACACATATATATATAAAATTATTTTTAAATTTTGAACTTAAATACAAAATAAGAAAAGATAACATTGCCTTGTACACAGCAGAACATAGGAGAGGATTCAATATAAAACAGTAAATTTCCATTTCAAGAAAGCCTATATAGTAAATACTACATATTATATTCAGAGCTGTCCATCTTTTCTTTCCTTCCTCATAGGTTTTCTTTTGTTCTCTTCTGTGCACTTCTTACTTTATTTTTTCCCCTCCCACCCCCCAGAGAAAGCTACAATTAAGCACGGATATATAGATATACATATGTACACATACATATACATATACACACACACACATACATAGATACTTATAATCATACATATATATTTACACTCATACACATATGTGTTAGTCCATGCCATGCTTATCTCCACCTGCTGTCTGTTTCTCTGAAGGTGGACAGCATCCTCTTTCATAAGTCCAAATCTTTCCATGCTTTTATAGTTCAACCAGCTCTTCATTTCCTGCACCACCGCAATATTCCACCAGTCACATTCTATCTGAGAGATCTCAACAGTGTACTCACCTTATAATATGGTTTAAGGTCTGATGCTACTGAATCTGTTTCCTTTACATCTTTCTTCTGTTCTCCTGGAAGTTTCTGACCCTTTGTTCTTCCAAATAAACCTTGTTGTTTTTATTTTTAACTCAGTAAGATAATTTTTAGTAATTTGATTGGGATGGAATTACATAAATAGATTGGGTAAAATTGTCAACTTTTTTTAATATTGCCTTTACCTAGTAAATACTACTTCAATTATTTAGATCTTACTTTATTTGTATAAAAAATGTTTTATGTTTGTGTTCATATAGTTCCTGTGTCTGTTTTGGTGGGTGTACTTTCAGGTATTTTATACTGTCTAGTTATTTTAAATGGTCTAAAACAATATTGAATACCATAGCTGACATGTAGTGTAGCTTCTCTGTTTTTTTCTCTTTTGATTACAGTTATTTTAGCTTTAACTTTGAGATCATGATTACTATCCCTGCTCTTGACCTTTTTTCTGTTTGTGTGTGTGTATTTACTCATTTTTGTAGCGTCTTCTGAAAGAAC